TTTCTTACAAAGAAGAATGCTAAAGCATGACTAATACGGTGAATTTTACTTTTACAGGAATTTGACCTCATCATCAAAGACAAGAAAGCAGTGGAGAACGTAGTGGCTGACCATCTCTCGAGGCTCACATTTGAGGACACCTCTGACCACATGCCAATCAGGGATGATTTTTTTGATGAGCATTTACTTTCTATTACTTCTCTACCATGGTTTGCTCATATTGTGAATTATTTGGCTGCAGGTGAGATACCGGTGGATTGGAGCGCTCAGGACAAGAGGAAGTTCATGACTAAGATACATAATTTCTATTTGGATGACCCTTTTCTTTTCAAATACTGTCTTGACCAAATTTTAAGGCGTTGCTTCCCTGATGAAGAGATTGCCAACATCTTGAAATTTTGTCACTCCCAAGTTTGTGGGGGCCACTTTTCAATGAAGAAAATCATTGCAAAAATTCTACAGTATTGGCCCACCTTGTTTAAGGATGTCACTCATTTGAAAAGTGTCAAAATTTAGGAGTTATGTCCCGTCGTAATATGCTGCCCTTAAACCCAATTTTAGTGATTAAAATTTTTTATTGTTAGGGCATTGATTTTATGAGACTATTTCCTCCTTATTTTGTATATCAATATATTATTATGGTAGTAGATTATGTGTCAAAATGGGTAGAGATAGCAACTTGCAGGAGCAATGATAATAGGACGGTAATTAAATTTCTCAAAGAGAATGTGTTATTTCGATTTGTATACCACTTGCAATCATTAGTGACCGAGGTACTCATTTTTGCAACCGTTTTTTTGAAGCTTTGATGAAAAAATATGGGGTGGTACATAAGATCTCCACTGCCTACCACCCTCAAACAAGTGGACAAGTAGAACTTGCAAACAAGAAAATTAAGCAAATTTTAGAAAAAACGGTCAACCCGAATCGCAAGGATTGGTCTTTCAGACTAGTTGATGAGCTTTGAACCTACCGTATAGTTTTCAAAACTCCTTTAGACATGTCACCTTATAGGCTTGTTTTTGAAAAGCCTTGTCAATTACCTGTGGAGCTCGAGCATCGAGTCTATTAGGCCATTAAGCATTTCAATTTTGACATGGGAGAAGCAGGTAAGCTTAGAAAATTTCAGTTGACCGAGTTAGAGGAGTTGAGAAATGATGCTTATGAGAACTCTAGAATTTATAAGGCTAAAATGAAAGCATTTCATGATAAAAAAATATTTTGAGAAAAACGTTTAAGCCTAATGATCGAGTGTTCTTACATGATTCTAAAAAAAAAAGAAAAAAAAATAAAAAGAAGCATTATTCGATGACTTGAAAGGTTAAAGAGTACATTAAATGAGAAATGTGGTTTATCGAGAGGTTTAACAAGATTTCCTTTGTATGTACTTGAAAGTTTTTGAATCCTTTTTATTTTTTTATATAGTCTCAAACCTAAGCCACGTTACAACATTTTTTTGTTGACCGTTACAACTTTTTTTTGTTAACCGTTCTGATCCTAAGTAAGTTTTTGAGAAAACGTGGTGAAAGTCTCATTTGTTAGTATTCCTATCATAAGATTAATGTTTATTTGCTACTTGTACATAATTGCCTAATTCTCCATGAGAGTGTGTGTACACTCATTGTCAATTATATAGAGAGAATCTTCATACTAAATACTTTTATACCCGTGAATTATGGAGTTGAATCATTCGATGGAGATGTTCTCGATGTTGCATGTGTCAGGGCTTCTGGTTTGATGGATATAGTTTGGAACACGCACACACACTCTGTGGATCGCTTTAGGTGGATAGCTTGTAATAAGATTATTGAATTTCTAAAATTGCTTTGATATGCAAATCTAAAAAGTGTGATTTGGTGGCCTTTATGTGATTTTCTTTGGTCTCTTTCGTTATGTTGTCATGAAAATTGGGACAAGCAATGGGTAAGTTGAGGGGTGTGATAAGTGCACGAAAGTGTATTCTAAATACCTTATTATTGGATTAAATTACTAAAATGTGAATATAAATAATTAGATATAATTTATATTACTGAATTTAATATCTATTTACACTAAGATATATTTGCGCATGATTTTATAATATTTTAAATCTTAAATATTGTATTATTAGTTGGTGAGAGATAATTTATAATTGGACTTTACACTTAATATTTTTGGGACTTTATTATTTAATTTTTATATTTTTTTTTATTTTGATGATAGTCCATAGAATAAAAAAATTGAAACTGATGCAGCTGTCATGGTGGACCCAACACTCAGCTGATTTGGGTTTTGTCCTTTTTAACATGCATGTGGATTTGGATTTTAGGGACCGAAATAAAAAGGTTAGAATAAAGAGGGAAGAAAAAAGGGTTTTTGGGGAAATTGGCTTTTAACTTCTTTTCTTTTTTGGGAGGTGGGACGAATAGTGAGGGGGGCAGCTGTTTTCTGGCTTGAGGCGGACACAGTTTAAGGGAGCAAAAAAATTTCAATGGCCATCATTTTGCTCTATTTTTTGAAGATATTTTTGTTATCTATTATTTTTATGGGTAACTAAATTTTCAGGTAGGGCGAGGGATGAACTTGTACAGTAAATAATATTTTATTTATTTTTCATTTATGCATTTGATTTTCAATTACTAAATTTTTTTTTGTTTTATCATTCTCAATTCATTGTTGATGTTTTCTTATCCGAATAGGCATAAAATTTATTTTATTTATAGGCTTAGTCAGACTTTTTCTATTGAATGGATTAACCGTTTGATTATTTTTGAATCAATTATTTATCAATATTGATTTAATTATTTGTTGCAATATCGCTTCCTAAGTATATCGTCGTCGTTATATTTTTTTAATAGTGATAATAATTTACATATTTTAAAAATGGTGAATGATTTTACAAAGGTCTACATTTGGTTTAATCTTGATTTATAAATCTATACCTTCCGATTTAGAATTTTGGGAATTGAGTTCTCAATTGAGTTATTCAATGAATTAAAAATAATTAAAATACTAGATTTATACAAGAAATTTATGATACTTTACTATTTGTCAAATTTAAGTACTTTTTTCTATTAGTCATTTTGTTTCACTTTAAATTACATTTATAATTAATCTTTGTTTTCTAATAATCATTTAATATTTTTTTTTTAGTTCCATTGTTCTTTCTACTATTCTTTTAATTTGTTTTTGTGTGAAATCGATACCCCAAAACTGTGCTACAGCTATTGCGTTAATCACTGTCATAATAACATAGTCGTGGTTGGAGATTTGATTTCTCAAGTGTCAACTTGATCAATCGACACGTGTTGTGTAACCATACCTTTCATATGCAATATGGTTTCATAGCCAAATTAATAAAATTATACTTATTCTATACAAACCTAATTTATGATAATGATGTAGTACGTTACACTCATCTTCATTCAAAACAAAAGACGACTTTTGACACCAATTTACATAATAATTCTCAGTAACCTATATGGATTCGGATGCTCTTTAATAAATTTTCTTGTTATTTCTCTTGTGGGTGGATTGTCTATTGTGAATCTAATGACATTTATTGTATGGTATGTAGCGGGTTTCTCACTCATTAATGATAGTTAATCTGTTTAGAAAGAAAAAAAAGTGATAAAAAACCTATGAGAAAATTTAAGAGTTACAGTCACAACATTCTACTATCAAGGGTGGCCCAAGACATTTTGGGGCCTAAAGTTGAAACGTTAAATGAGACATTTTTTTTTTAATATGAATAATAATTTTTTTTTTAATTTTTTAAAAATATAAAAATATTAATTAAAATTTTATATTCAAGCTTTTATAATTGGGCTTAAAATTTGGACTATTACTACACACCTATAAATTATGGGGTCTTCCTTGAAGTGAAGCCTTAATTTTTTTTAAATTGGGCTTGTGTTTTTATAAGACATTTTTATAGGGTTTAAAGTATTTATGAATTTAATTTTTTTATATGGACTATTTATGATATCTAAAAATTTGGGGTCTTCCTCAAAATGGGGTCTAAAGCCCACATTTTTTCAAATACATTGTTGAGATGCCCGTGTCTACTACATCATTAGATATTAGATCAATTTTTTAAATTCCAATAGCATTACTCTAATAACTATCTCATACAAATGAGCTTTTGGTCCAATAATACTTCTTACTTTGTAAAAACTTTGCTTTTTTTAGGTCAATGGTTAATAACTATCCCACATTTGAATTTTCTTTCATTAACTATTTGACATTTAAATATTTGAATAATGCTAGACTGACTAAAAATCGTGACAAAATGATTGAGATTATATCATAATGGGATTGCTGCTTTTATTTTGACACATTTGAAATTCAAATTTAACTTAGTATGGTAATACCTTATCATTTGATTAGTAACTTACTCATCTCGAAGCCTCTTGCTTCCCCATAACTCTCTTTATTCTGTAACTGGACAGGGATGCTATTCTGCATAACTAATATAGGGAAGTATGTTCAAGCATTTGGTTTATTAGTTAATCCATTCGGAGACCAAGAAGGGAAAAAGAATTATTCAAGCCAGAACTTTGTGTAAAAAAGTAAGTTGAATATTATTTGTACAGAACTGCTGCCTTGGTGGCTTCTCCTCAACATTTACGTAGGCAGAGTCAAACGACTCATACCACAATTTTTTCAACGTCTTTACTCGTTGTCAACATCTGTATTTAGAGTCCGGACCCCATTATTTTTGTAATTATGTTTCTTTCAAACCCCCAAAAATGTATCATATGCCGGCCATTGAATTACTCGCACTCTCCTGTCTTCACTAAGGCATTTGTTATGCTACAGCCCCTGGACAGTTCATTCACTCATCTTCACCCACCACCACAAATCTTACAGCTTCTTAAACTCCATGAAAATTTACCAAATTCTCCGGGAAAATGGTGGGAATTCTTCTAACTACTCTCTTAGTTTACCTGATACCTCAGTTTCATTGTTTATCAACTGATGAAACCTCTTTCTCTCTCTCCTATAATGGAGGGAAGATCATGACAGAACCTGTCACTGTTTCTCTTCTATGGTTTGGTACTGGAATCCGAGACTCTGGGCAAGAAGCTATAAGAAATGCTATAAATTCTTTATCTCCATCAGGGTATCAAAATCATGATTCTGAGGTACCGACATTAGGAAGTTGGTGGGAGATCATCAGACAGTATAGAGACAGTTCGGGTTCTCGTGTTACAGATAGAGTTGATGTTGGTCCTGAGTGCTTCTACACAGGTCTACATACAGACATGACACTGGAAAAAGTTACTGAGGTTGGAAGATCCGTGTTCAACGAAACATACATGGATAAGTTTGGTGGGAACTTGACCTGTAATCGAATTTTCGATGTAAACGATAATAACATCTACCATGTTGTGATTTCTCAGAATGTGAAGTTTTTAGAGAGAGATACTGAGCAGACAGATATGGAATACATGTGTAATGGGGATTTTCCGGTTGCGGTCTCTGCTGGAGTAAGTGTCAAAATGGCATGGTCAAGAGCTCCACAAGCTCTTGTTGATGATCAATGCTCGACATTTTTCAACGGGAGTCGCTATTTGGGGCCACCAAACGGGGATGTAAGGATCGATAGCTTGGTGGGATATATGTTGGGTAAGATTGCAGATGATGTAACTAATCGAGATGGAAAAGGATGGATAAGTAATGATGGGAATGAAAGGACAGTTAGTTGTTCTTGTGGTTCAATATTTGAAAGAGATATAGCTGGTCCTCCTCTTTTCATGGACACAGAAAGGAATGTGAGTTTTAATGTTGTTGGTTTGAATGGATATAGATACATGGTGCATTACATTTGGGACCAAAGTATAAGGAACTGTGCACTGAAACTTTCAGGTACCCTCAATTTTATTCCAATTCTTACAAGATTAAACATAAGAAAGAAAATAAAATAAGATGGAAAAAAACATTGCACATAACGTTGTGTTGATCTTGTTTGCTTAAGGACTTGTGATTTCAAAGCATATTTCTACAATTTATCATCATACTCTGGTTCCATCAGTGAGGAACTTTACCATTTGCCCAACATCCCAAATGTGCCCACCTAGTTTATTCTGCAAATTTCACCGACTCCCCCGTTGGGGGGATGGGGGGGGGGGCATGAAGCTCATGTCAATGCGGAGTCGAGGAGGGTCAAATGTATGCAGTATTATTCTCACTTACGTGACTCAAACCTTGCTGCCCAGGTCACAATTGAGTAAATTAGTCTAGTTTATTTAAGATGAAGTCTTTGCTGGATAAGTTAATCCTTCAACTTCTTGGTGATGGAGGAGTCCCTTTTTTAGAGTTGTTTTTTCATTGCCAGTTGTTTCTTTCAATGACCAACTAAAACTCTACATCTGCAGAAACATGTGGAAGCAATACAGTGATGTTAAAACAGGCCAAAGGATCCTTAAAAGGAGGAATTATAGCAAATCAAACCACTGGTCTACAGCCATATCCTCCAAACCAGAAGTGTCAATGGAAAATACAGTATCCAACTGCAAAGTTCATCAGTTTCACAGTCAACTACCTCTCAATTGCACCAGATCACAGCAATGACCTTCTTATGATCTGCGATTCGGATTCAAGGTCTGCAAAGTGCACCGTTTTTAACTCAAATGACAAAAAATTGGACAGGAACTTCAAGTTGAAAGGCTCACAAGCTTATGTTCAGTTTTTGAGTGGCAGTGAAGTGTCCTTTGATTCAAGAGGATGGGAGCTCAGCTATTCAGCAGGTAAGTTGACTCAACCTAGTTTGTCTTTTTTTGCCGGTTATAAGGGGAGGGGGCGACCAATAGGTATTAACTTCTCTTGGGCGTGATCATGAGAGTCCTCCCACCGTAGAATATCTGGTTTGAGCCATTACTATTAATTAAGAAGGTAGCCCGTATTACCAAACAGTAGATCGCGTTGATCCCGTGAATCGAACCCTACTGGATAATTATATAAGAGTCAAAAACTACCCTAAACGGGTACGACTTACCACTGGATCACCAGCTCGGCATCTGATTTATATCTTGGTTTCCGAAAAAGGAAACCAGTTTGTATTTGAGAAAATTACACTTTAATCCACTCAACTATATTTCTAGTGGTTTTTGCGTAGTAGATCCAAAAATAGTCATTGATTTCACGTTGCCCTTACTGCAGGGTCCAATATAAAGTAGATACTTCCCATCGAAAACATAGTGGAAGTTAAGTTTTGGACATTGTGAAATCAATGCACGTAGTTGAGGGGTAATGTGAAAAACTCAATTTGAAAGAGGGTGAAGTGAGTTTAGGTGCTATAGTTATAGAATATGAAGTGTAATTAAGGATCAAAATTTCGTTTTGATGCATAATTTTGTTGTCCTTGAAAACCGAAACATTTCAATAATGTTTCGGAAACAAGATGAAAACAAAGAAAAATTTAAAAATTTATTTTCACCACATTGGTTGAAACATATCGAAATATACCGAAACACATCGAAATATCTCAAAACATAGGAATTTGGATTCAATCAATGATTCGTTTTAGTTTCCACGGAGGCGGAAACATTTCGAACGTTTCGGCTTTCGACCATTTCCAAACAAAATTTAGTTCCTTGAGTGAAATTTTGACTTGTATTCCTTTTCCTCTTATTTGATCATCTTAATTTTAAGTTGAACTTGAAAAACTTATATATAACATTCAAACTTTAGGACTCTGCAATGGAAAGAAAGATGTTTATGCCCACGAAGGGGTTATTGGCTATATTTCAACTACTAGCAACTCCTATACAGAGGGTTTAAGATGCCAATGGATTCTCCATGGAGAACCAGGAACTCCTGTTACCTTGAGCTTCACTCAAATCAACATCTCAAGAGACTTGGATTTCTTAGCAATATACAATGGCCTTTCCCAGCAGATTGCTAACTTTTCTGGGTTGTTCTTGGGCTCTGATCTTCCCCGGATGAACCTAACAGGTGAAATTAGGATTGCGTTTGCCACACAGACTGACGCAGGTGAAGGTTGGTCAGCCAAGTTTTCCATAAAATCACCTGTGGATCGAAACAGAGAAACGCTAATCATTATCATAGTCATCTCTATAGCAGTTGTCCTAATAAGCGGTTCTGTTGCTTTGATAGCGTTGGCATTTGTCGGTAGAAGGAGAAGAAAGCACCCAAAAATGATAGAGAAGAATGAGAAGTCTATGTTAATAAGAGCAGAAGTTAAAGGAGAAGAGAAACGAATTGCTGAGGGGCCTTCTTCAATCGTTTACAAAGCAGTTTCGACAAATGGTGTTTCTGTAGCTATCAAATCTCCGAAAACTTCTACTTCTCAAACAAGGTTAGAAGAAGAGATTTTGATCAAGACCTCTTCTCACCCAAACATCATTTCACTAGTAGGGTATGCTGACGACGGTTTACGGAGACGAAACTTGGTGTTTGAGTATATGAGCAGAGGAAGTTTGAGTTGGAACTTGGAAGAGAGAGCAGAAACACTTCACTGGGAAAGAAGATTAGAAATAGCAATACAAATCTCCTCAGCTATCCAAATGCTGCATATGTACTTAAAGCCACCTATATACCATGGAAACATAACATCTGAAAACATTCTTCTTGATGAGTATTACAACGCGAAATTAGCTGGTTTCGGGGCTGCAAATCGTTGCACAAGCAATGAGAGTAAGCCCAGACCACCACCCGAAATGGCAGAAGATATTCGGAGTTTTGGGCTACTGTTGGTTGAGCTACTAAGAGGAAAGCCTCTGATCAGTGGATATGATTCGGATTGGATTGAGAATTTTGAGATTTTTGAAGGAATCAACAGCAAGAATTTTGACGATCATGAGTGCCTGGATCCGAGGTTGGGTATCCCCAAAGAAGAATGCAAGAGCCAGGGCTTGGCCAAGCTGGGGGAGATAGCAAAATGGTGCATCAACACTAACCCGAGAATCGGAGGGTATGAAAATACTCCCAAGATAGGTGATGTTGTATCAGGTTTGAAACAGGTGAAGAAATTGTTCTGTTCTTTTTCAAGCTAAAAACAGGAAGAAAGAAAAGTTTTCTATACATCTGCTGTGCTATGATCCATGTTCCATAAACTCCTCCAAACTGTATTCCTTAAATTCATGTGGCCTTGCACTTCAGCTTTGGCTGGCTGCTCCGACCACAAGCATATAGATTGCTAATGCCTCTAGTACACAGATTGTTTCAATTTAGGGGTGACAAAGTTGGTTCTGTATCTGTAACTTATACCGAAGGTTGTCCAGATACTTTAAAATAAAACTGAACACTATAAAGGGTGAAGATTGGTTTAACACAATCGCATAATGAGAATCATGCGTCAAAGAATCGGTTGCATCACCCTTGCAAACTTAGATGTCCTTAGATGCCTCATTTCACTAACGGACAACACCAGGCTATTCAGTCCGTATCTAGCCCCACGACCACCATTGTGCAGTTGTGTTGTGCCGAACTTCATCGTCTAAAGTTTGGCCCAACTTTGGAGGATCCGAACTCTATTGAATGATTCACTCATTATCCACTCATAATGTTGTGCTTAGTCTCAAAAAAAAAAGCAAAACCGTTAATAACACTGAGGGAAACCCAACACAAGATTCCCATCATGTCATAGGTGCCTGTATGCAATCTTACTTACATATGCGAAGAGAATAACTTTTAGAATGAATACATAGATTATTTTACATTCAAAATTTAAGGACATAGGGATAATTTTGTGAATTTGAAACCAGTTGAAGATACAAAGTGAAATAACGACCATAATTGAAGGGGAAAAACATAATCAACCCCGCAATTTCTGATAGATTATTTAGTAAGTTTTAAGAAAAAATATTCATTGCAACGATGATATCATGTTAACATTGTCACGTGAAATCACCAACTAATAATATGTAAACAAATATAAAAACGAACCCCACACAAGTTAAAAATTATGTCTATATAAGTCGATAACTATCCAAATAAGATTCAATTTGTCTATTTTGAGTTCTATTATTGGTTGATAATATCATGTCATCAATACTGACATGATATCACTGTTACATTAAATATTTTCTCCAGACTTAAAAGAGAACAAGAATCTGACAATCAATTTACATATCAAAGTCCTATGAGTGTTTTAAGCAATAACCCATACATATTTATGAATCCATTGATGAGTGAACGTTTGTTTGGTTCAAAATTTGACGTAGAAATTCCAATGAGACAGAGTTCACAGTGGCCCAAAAGAATTTGACAAATTTCAATTTGCACTAGATTTAATATTGTCTCACATTGCACCCTTTATTTTTAACTTTTGGTTTAATCTGCAACTTCTACTCCAATTTGCACCCTCACTTTACATTGCACCTTACATTGATTTCATATTGTCCAAAACCAAATGCCCATCATGTATTAGACGAAAAATGTCCACACATCATTAGATGCAAGTATTAGTCGGTACATCCCCGCACGGGTTTATATAAATATCTCCATATAAGTCTATCGTCCAATACGTATAGTACATCCCTAGTCTAAACAAAACAGATTTGAACAAATTCCCATTTTTCCTCATCCACTGCCTTCCCTAGTAAGGACAAAGTGGTAAGTTTGCATCCAATTTATAATGGACATCTACAATTGAACAATGTGACACCAATATTTATAGTTGACAATGTCATGTGAGAAACATAATAATCAAAGAGACAATCCAAGACAAGGCCGTAACTCAGAGTCAAAAGTGGTTTATCAACATTCCTACAAGTTGTAACTACAGGGAATTCTAGGGGTGTTATCCTTTCTATTTTCATAAACTGATCACCTAATGAAGCCAAACACCTTACTCTACAAAATTCTCAGGAATGTTTAATTAAAATACAAGGGTTTAGCTCAGCTCCTTCAAGCTCATAATCCAATTAGATAAGCCAACCTCAACAGTTCCTTCAACTACAATGTCAATAACTCAACAAATCTACAAGTCAAGCTTCAACAAGCCTACTTATTGCAAATCAACCATCACTGGATACCCCAGATGGTCAAGGTCTCATCTCCCAACGGGGTGGTTTGAGGTTCGAACATCACATCTTTGTGTGATGCAGAGAATACTACTAGGTTTAAGACTTCAATTCAATACCCAAAAATAAGCTATTTGGTGTGTATTATCCTCCTCCTAAAAAGTAGAATAGATACATCAAACTAAATCAACGAAAAAAGAATAGTTAAACCATTGTATCACAATAAGTGAAACTTGATCAAACCTCAAAACTGTGCATATACCTCCAGAAAATATTAACAAGTGCTGAAATGGAAGCACAGTTCACATTACAAATAATGCCTAGTAGACTTGAAGTCTCGAAATAATGCCTTTAAATCCCACAAAGCACAAGGAAAATATATTCATGTGTTTATTTGCCAAACAAAGGTATGTTTGACACTTTCTCCACTGCAAATAACTCAAAGTAACCTAGAAAGCACCAACATACAAGATGTAGGTTCATATTTTGTCTAAGCATGCAATTTGGAGTTAGCTAATCAAATCACACGCAAAATGCCCACCATTAAAAGAAAGCATGCTGAAAATTCCGTTAAAAATAGGAAGGGTAATCATCATGAAGATACCACAAAAGAGACTCTCGACGCAAGGGCAAATCTGCAAAGAGGAAATGTGTTCTACGCATATTGTCTGCGGGCATGTATGTCCAACCACCAATTTTTGTAAACAAAACAAAATCAAATTGTTTGATAATTCAAACACAAAGCTAATAAGACTTCCCGCAGTGTATCAAGCTCCCAGCACCTAAGAAAAGACCAAAAATGGCAGCACTGCCAAGCGTTGTTTGTCCAATATACCTGATTTTCATGAGTCCCGGAACCTGCATATTCCAAAAGGAAAATAGTTCGGATTAATACATACAACAGAATAAAAACATATGGAAGGTAAAGATTTATACCCCATGACAATATCTTACCATCTGGACCAAAATAGAGGAAAATTAATGGTTCTTTCATTTTTCACTATCTCCTTTATGACTACATAAAAATGTTCCATCTTACTATGTTCCTATTCAATGCTTTCCCAATGGAACATGCAAAATCCCTTGGAAGGAAAAGATTCTTNAAATGTTCCATCTTACTATGTTCCTATTCAATGCTTTCCCAATGGAACATGCAAAATCCCTTGGAAGGAAAAGATTCTTACAGCACGTTTCTGTAGAATAAACTAATGGATGACGTCTAGAAAGCCCACATTCCAAGTCAATGCACTTGCAACTTAGGCATGTATGGGCTACATTAGGGGCCAAACCCAAAAATATCAGCTTGTACTGGTAAATCCAAATTCAAGCAGAATCCCTATTATCTTAGCCTATTGGTTTCTTCCCGACAATGTGAGAGCTTTCCTAGCTACAATTCATGCAGCCTAGCTAATTCCATTGTATGAGATGCCATCAGAGTTCTTGCATTCTCAAGCAAACAGACAATTTCCAGTATCATAGTAGCAAACACAGCATCTTCACAACTTCACTGCCAGAATTTTTATCAAATTCATGTAATGCCTACAATTAATCATCAGGCATTGGAGGATGCTTCGAGTGATGTTTTCACCAAAGCTAGATCATAAGTTAAGGAAGGCATGAACCACGAAAGAACCCTGAAAAGCAACTGATGCAATTCATAAGAAGCTCAAGGAAACACAAATTCAAAGATGTGAAAGATAATGGAATTGACTTTCCATCAAGATAAAGATCCACATGGAACCTTGTNATGAACCACGAAAGAACCCTGAAAAGCAACTGATGCAATTCATAAGAAGCTCAAGGAAACACAAATTCAAAGATGTGAAAGATAATGGAATTGACTTTCCATCAAGATAAAGATCCACATGGAACCTTGTATTATTGTATTTTGAGTCTTATTTTAAGTTAATTTGCTAGTATTAGTATTTTATGTCATTNGTATTATTGTATTTTGAGTCTTATTTTAAGTTAATTTGCTAGTATTAGTATTTTATATGTCAATTTAATAGTTTTTAGAATCAAAGATATTTTTGTAATTTCTAAAATTTTTGGAATGGGTCATAATCTGATTCATGGATCGTCTTTTGGGTCAAACCCTAGTATTGGATATGCTAGAGTTTAGAGTTTTAGTTCTAGTTTTAGTTTGTTTTTGTTTTCTAATTTTCAGTGATTCAAAATTTTTAGAGTGCTAGAGACTTTGCAATCCTAATCTTTTAGGATTAAGAGTACTTCGAACTCTATATATATTTAGTGATATTTTTAATAAAAGATAGAAAGAGATATTTCAGAAATTTCAGCCATTATATGTTTCTTGAGTTGTGTGATGCAATTCTAACTTGTAGGTGTGATGCCTAAGGAACCCTAGGAGTGATTCCTAGTCAATATTATTATTCACTGGGTGTGATGCCTAAGGAACCCTAGAAGTGATCCCTAGCCAATATTACTGTTCAAGACACTGTTCACAGCCCCTAAACAACCCCAATTTTAACTGGGAAATGCTATGCATATCAAAACTCTTACCAAAAAGTACTTTTACCAAATGAGTTGACAGCTCCATATCACTCTTGGACCCACCAAATGTTGATTAAAATGTTTTTGATCGGATATGGAGTTGCCAACTCATTTGATAAAAACACTGTTTGGTAAAACTTTGTTAAGCATAGCATTACTCATTTTAATTTTGCATAGTTGTCCTACATCAACAACCCAATCAAATTTGTTTTCCAGTCAACTGCATTCTTTCATGGAAATGGAACACAGTTGAAGTATCCACTTGGGATGAATTAATGTCAAAGATAAGCAGCACCACAAATAAAATATGATGTTCAGACTTGTTTAAAAGACAATCACAAAAAGTAGTCCAATAAACCCAAGTATCAAGACCTTAAATAGTCCATCTTTTACAGTCCGATTGAAAATAATTAAAAGGGAGCAAACATGAAGACTTGAAGGTAAGAACTGCCCATAATCAATGCTCATACATAAAAAGTTTCAATCACTTTTTAATGGAGTGGAATAACATTTGCCAC